CAACAAGGTAATATCTAAGGCCCCAACAGGGTAATGAGACAGGGGCCTACAGCCCAAACCAAAACACGCCTAATAAACAACAGAAATAGAAAACTGAGAGGACACGCACATGGCGGCCTAGAGAACTCCACAAAACGAAAAAAAAATGAAAATGAAAAACAGAGCCACTGCACAATGCCTAGCCTGCATTCATCTCCCAAACAAAAACGAACAAACACACCTAACACAGACTCGAACAAACTACATCAAAAACAGTAAAACAAAAGAGGGCCCTTCCCCAACAGATTGACGAGTCGATACAGCGGAGAACAATCGATTCCAATAGAATCCGAAGCCCTAGCCCAACTACTGAAACTGCTGCCGAACGCCTATACAGAAGCCAAACGCGGACCCCAAACCCGAATCGACCCACCTCCAACCGATAGGAACAAAGCAACCCCCAAGCCAAACCAGTCCAAACCCGTCTAACACCACTAGCCGAGCCCGGACGACTCAAACCTGGACCCAACACCAGAGAACCGGGAAGGGGCTGCCAGTCCTAAACTCGAACGAAACAAGCCATAAAAGTCACAACCCACCCACCAGCACATGCATTATCCGAACCACCACAGGCACAAACGACCCTACCCAAACTCCAGCGACCCGAACCCAGAAGCTCAAACCCCCAAGTGACTGACAGCTAAAGAAAAAACGATGAAGAACAGGTCCAATCGCCAACCGCCAGCACCACAACAACATCAATCGAAGGTCGTCGGTACCTTGACAGCGGAACCACCGACCGCCGACCGACCTTCGAGCGAATCGCCTGTAAAACCCACATCTCTACCAGCGACCTAGAGCATAACCAAAGGTTAGCAATCGAAGAAGAAAAGACGACCCAGACCAGCCAGAGACCAACAGCATCCAAGGATCGACACCACCAACCTCCAGACGGACCGTCCCTCCGCAATCGACGGCCAGAAGCTTGAAGCTTGAACAATCGCGGACCCTGCGGCTAATCCAGAACAACGATGCGTAAGGGGGTGGGCCGATCAGTCAAAGGTGACCGCCGGCCCGAATTACGCCGACGCTGGAGAAGGCAAAACTGAGAGAATTGAAGGGGAGAGTCGAGGGATTTGACGGGGAGATGGGTCGAGAGGTAGGGTTTTTTTTCTTATCGTATTGTGGAAGTTTCTCATGTTTTCTTTAATATATATTAATATTATTATTTGGACTTTGGTGTGTAAATTTATTATAAGTTGAGATAATTTTATTTTGTAGGTAGTTAAAATAAATAAAAACTAAGGTATTTAATATTAATTTCTGGGCCCCGACTAGGCGCTCTAGGCGCTAGTCCAGCGCCTAGCGGGCGCCTAGCGACTTTTAGAACACTTGAGGCCACTAAATATAAA